TCTTTGCTTTGCCTCTGTTGTCAAATGGTTGTCTTCCCTCTCTGTCTTCACTTCCCTTCTGTGTGTATGGGTCTCTGTGTCTCTTCTCGTAAGGACAGAAATTAAAATTATTTGTGCATTGTTTGAACTATCATTTTTTAAACTGGTTTACTTCTTCCCTTCTTTTTGAAGAGATAACGTTTCTGTTTGTAAGCTTTGGTTTCACTGATTACAATTCACTAAAAACTTTAAATCTGAAGGTGTCCCTACCCCCATTTAGTCTATTTGTTGAATATGTTGATTAATAGTTTCCAACAACTTTTGAAAAAAATGCAACAAGTGTTGCCCATCCCAGTGCCAGGCCAGCCCCCACAGACACAGCCAGTAGGCTACTCCTTGCAGACCCAGGCTCTAGGCCTGCACTAATGCTGGGGCAGCATCCAAGGATTCCAGCTTAGCCACTGCAGACTTAGGCATCAGGTAGAAACTCATGGACCCACACTCTAAGCCTGCCCCAGTACCAGGTCAGCCTCTATAAATTCAGGTCCAAGCCTGTCCCCAGGGATCCAAACTCTGGACCCAACCCCATGGTTCCAGGTACAAGGTCTTCCCCTGCAGATCTAGGCACCAGGCCCATTCCAGGGGACCCTGTGCCAGCCCAATCCCTACAGACTTGGGACCAGGACCATTCCAGTGCCAGGCTGGTCCCCATGGGCTCAGCCTCAAGACCTACCCCAGTGCCGGGATGGCCCCTTGGAACCTAGGCTTCAGGTCTGTGTTTGCAGGCCCAGGCTCCAGGACTGCTCCTATATACCCAAATGACAGCCCATCCCAGTGGACCCACACACCAGATTAGCCCCCCATGAGTTGAAGTATTAGGCCCACCACCTGCTGACCTAGGCATCACCTGCCAACCAATCCAAGGGATTTAGCAACAAGCCCACCCATGGACCATGCCGGATGGCCCATGAAGAATCTCTAGACCCACTGACTGGGGAAAGGCTTTTCCTACTGAAGCCAGCTTATAAAGACTGGAATAGATGCCTACTTCTTCAAGTGATAGACACCAGTGAAAGGCCACAAAGATTATGAGCCATTAGGGAAACATGGCACCACAAAAAGAACAAAATACAGTAAAAATTGACATAAAGAAATGGAGAGCTACAGGCTGCCTATCCAGAGGACACAGACAACTAGACAATATCAATGATTTAAAATACTTCAAAAGGGTAAAAACAAGGTACTGTGGGAGCTCATAGCAGAGTCCCAGGGTACAGGGTTCGGAAAACATTACCAGAGTGTTTTACGAGCTGAGACTTGAGCAATGTGTGGGAAAGACTTGGCAAAGTGGTTGGAGAGGTGAGAAAGAGAAGAAGGAGTTTCAGGCAGAGGGAAAATTATATGTGAAGGCCCAGAGAGAACATGGTGCAGTTCATCAATTAAAATATGACTGGTGTGTAGTATGCGACTCACTAAGCACAGTGTTCTTTAGCAGTGAGGCTAAAGTAGCTTATGCAGAACTTTGTAACCCATAGGGAATTTGGATTTTAGTTAATTTTCCCCCCAATTTCTCATGTCAAAAATGTTGGAGTCATGTTTGCCTTGTGTTTTTCTTTTTTTCATATCCTACACCCAATCTCAGTAACTCCCAATGGTTCCACTCTCAAAATAGATTCAGAATCAGACTACTTAGCTCCTCCAAGGTTACCCCTTTGCCTAACTCCCCATCATTCCTTGCCTGTTATACTATACTAGCTTCTTAGCTGGAGTCTCCATTTCTCCACTTGATCTCATAGAGTCTATCCTCCATATTTTCACCAGTTATTTTAAAAATGAAAGTCACGTCAAAATCTCTGAATGGCTTCCTGTCTCACAGTAAAAGCCAACATCCTTTCAAAGGCCTGCAGGGCCTTATGTAATCTGATGTCCCACTCCTTCTCTGACTTCATGTCTTACCCCAGTTCACTTGTTCTTTCCACTGCAACCATTGACTTCTTGCTATTTCTCAAATATTTCAGGTATGCTCCTTGCTAAAGGCCTCCATACTTGCTGTCCACTTCCCTTGGCTTAGAATGCTTTTCTCCCAGAAATCTACATGACTTATTTCATTTCCTTCATTTCTGCCCACATGTTACCTGATTTATCAGAGAAGTGATACCTTAACCCACCCATATAAAATAACTCTGGCCCTCAGATGAGTTGTTTCTCTGCCTCATGTCACACATGATATATTAAATACCTGTTGTTTTTCAATATGCTTATATCTTCTTCAACTAGAATATTGTTTCCATAAAAGTAGGTAATTGTTTTGCGCCCTATTATTTATATTCCTAGTGCCTAAAATAGTTTTCAGTGAATAGGAGGCTTTCAACATGTATTTATTAAGTGAATAAACAATTAGCATGTGGTGAGGAGTTTTAACCAGGGAGATGATGTAATTTAATTAGAAAACGATAACTCTGGCTGCAGTATGGAAAATGGATTAGAGGAGATCAAGACAAGCCAGAGAGAAATTTTGGGAGATGTATTATTCAGTGGCTGAACATTTGAATTGTTGCTGATGTTTAACCTATTTAGCTTTTCAAGAATTTTCATGTTGAAAATCTAATTTGTTTATGCGCTAAAGTAATGAGAATGTATGAGTTGACCAGTTCTTCCAGCACATGGACTGATACAGGCACTCTCCCATTGGACCTGCATTAATTTGAGGTTGCTTCATTTTTCTTCTTATAGTGACTCCTATGGAGCTAGGCTTGCTGAGTTCTACAGTGACTGATGGAGTCAGCTGGAGGGGCCAGTTGCTACTGAAAATGCTCAGAAACCTAACTCCTAATTTACCCATAAACACCACCTAGCCAGGCTGTATCACGTCTGCTATAATTAGTTAGCAAGCTGACTTAGCACCTCAGTGCTATAATTTAAAGTAAACCCTGAACAGTCTTAGACATGAGTATACATGGTACAGTTAAGTTTAATCTGTATAAAGGTATCTCTTTGGAGTCTGAGAATCCGTTTATGCTACTGGTCTTCTCTGACACTCTCCAGGTCATGTAGGTTACTGTCTAGGTCATAATTAGCCTGGATTATATTCAGTGATTGCCAGCTTCCCAGTGGCCTGTGAACAAATTATTTTGTTTAATAGTGAGTGAATCAATAATGTCAGCAGTAGCATCACTACTCACATGCTATAAAATGCAAGACAGAGTTCAGATGTTTTTATATTTTAAAATAAAATGTATATTCCTTACTGTGTTAGGTGATTTCTAGTTTCTTAACAGATATATCTGCTTCTATAATAGTGTTCTACCCTAAGAAAATATTCCTGACACAAATTGATTTATGGAAATTTTTTTTTTGTTATTACTTATAAATGAGTTGTGCTGGAATTTGTTGCTGTGTCTGCAGTACTTAGTATTTGCTAATATACAAGGTCCTTGTTATCTTAGTGCCAAAAGGCTGCTTAAATGAATTCATAAAATGTCATCACCAGAAATTCATAGGAAACAGTGAAAAAAGTTTGTTACTTTACTTTGAAAAATAAAGACCTCAAAAGTTTTATTTTATTTTAACTTGATTTGTCTATAATTACATACAAAGTGTTGGAAGGTACAAAGCAGAAACTACACAAGATCACTCAAGAAATAATAGATAACCTGAATAGCCCTCTATATTAAGGAATTTAAGTTTGTAGGTTTAAACCTTCCCAGAAAGAAAACTCCAGAATCAGATAGCTTAATGGGTGAATCGTACTAAACATTTAAGGGAGAAAAAAAATGCCAATTCTTTACACACTCTTCTGGAAATTTGAAGAGGATAGAATTCTTCCTAACTCATTCTATGAAGCCAGCATCATCCTGGTATCAAAGCTACTTGATAACATTGTAAGAAAAGAAAACTACAAAGACCTCTTACGCACTTTGATACAACAATTTTAACAAAATTTCAGATGAAATCCATGATAATCTGGAAAGGATAGCTACGTAATAACCAAGTGGGATGTATCCCAGGAATGCAAGGTTGGTTTAACATTTGAATATTATTCAGTTACCATATTAACAGACTAACACTCGAGAAAAACGTATGATCATCTCAATAGACATAAAAAACATTTGGCAATATCCTCATACAAATTCTCATCAAACTAAAAATAGACATAAATCATAAACTGAATGTATGACTTAGGCCCATAAAATCTAGAAGAAAACACTGGAGAAAACCTTTGTGACCTCAAGTTAGGCAAATATTTCTTTTATACAACACTAAAAGCATGGTCCATAAAAGGAAAAATTAATAAATTGGAGTACCTTAAAATTAAGAACTGTTCTAAAAACACAAGAGGATAGAAAGGCAAAGCACAGACTGGGAGACAATATTTCAAACCCCATATCTGATAAAGGACTTGAATCTAGGATATACAAAGAACTTCAAACATTCAAAATAGGAAACAACCTACTAAACAATGGGCAAAAGATTTAATAATTTAATTTACCAAAGAAGATCACAGATGGTAAATAAGCATATGAAAAGATGTTCAACATCAGTATTCATTAAGGGAATGTAAATTTAAAGCACAATGACATACCACCATATGTCCACTAAAATGTCAACAATTTTAAAACCTGACCATCTTAAGTGATGACAAGTATATGGAGCAACCGGAACTCATGTACTGTTTGAAGGAACACAAAGTCGTACAGTGTCTTTGTAACATGGTCTAACAGTTTTTAACATATTTCAACATACACTTACAATATGACCTTGCCATTCTACTTTGAGATATTTGCTGAAAAGAAATTAAAGCAGCCAGGAATGGTGGCTCACACCTGTAATCCCAGTGTTTTGGGAGGCTGAGAGGGGCAGATCACTTGTGGCCAGGAGTTCAAGACCAGCCTGGCACACATAGCGAAACCCCATCTCTACTAAATATACAAAAGTTAGGCATGATGGCATATGCCTGTAATTCCAGCTACTCGGGAGGCTGAGGCATCAGAATTATTTGAACCCAGGAGGCGGAGGTTGTAGTGAGCTGAGATCTTGCCACCGAACTCCAACCTGGGTGATAGATTGAGACTCTGTCCCCCCCCGCAAAAAATATATTAAAACATATGTGTTATAAAATGTTTGTAACAGCTGTATTTGTCATGATCAAAAACTGGAAAGAACCCAAATATCTGTTAATAATTACCATTGAATAGATAAACAAATATTGGTATATCCATACAGTGTGATACTACTCAGCGATAAAAAAGAAATGAACCATTCAAACATGCAACTATGTGAATTAAAAAATAATTATGCTGAGTGGAATTATCTGGCCAAAAAAGAGTATATAGTATTTGATTCAATTTTTATAAAATTCTTGATAATACAAACTCATATATAATGAACAAAAGAGATTGATTGTTGCCTGGAATGATGAATTGAGGAGTGGAATCTGGCAGAGACAGGTGAAATGGCAAAATTTTAAAGGTGCACCTGGAAAGTTTTGGGAATGATAGACATGTTCATTTTCTTGACTATAGTAATTTCTCAGGTATATACATATATTAAAACTTGTACACGTTAAATATGTCCAGTTTATTATACAGCAATTATACTGAATAACACAGAAATGAGACAGCAGAACAAGATTGATATATTGAATTTATCATGACATTTCATGTCTTGAAAGCTATTAAAATTTTAAGAGTAGACAAAATTAGAATCAAAAGTAGAGTTTACTTAGAATGTCTAGTTGTGATTGTATTGTCTATCCAATTTGCTCAGTTATTTACTCATAAATTATGATTGTTATTAAAATACACTTTTGTGTTAAAGTGGTTTTCAAACATGGTCATACACAAGAACCACATGTAGGAAATTATTAGACGTGCAGACTTCCAGGTTTTACCCCTACCCCCAGGAATTCTGAATTGTAGATGAGGTTGTGGGGTCTTGAAATCTGCTTGTTGGATATTTATAGCACTTGCCCTCATTAGAAAGTTAAAAGTGTACAGGTACCACAAAGAATTAAGGTTTATAAGGCTTTCTTTCCTCCTCCTCTTTCTCTTCTGCTTCCTACTCTTTCTCCTTTTCCTCTTTTTTGTAACATTTATTGACCTACATTTGTTGTTTTTTGTAGTGATCATGTTTTTACCAGGCCGTTCAATAGTGAAAGGACAGGGGCAGAAGGAAGAAGGGACCACCTTCTACTTTATCAGATACCTTTAAAAAATAAACACACAGTAAGAGCAATGTAATTCACCACTTTCAAGTTTGAGGTCATGGAGAGCAGAAAAGCCTTTCTGGGAAGTATTTCTTTGTGCCTTTCCGGAGATAGCTTATATCATCTATCAAAATATAGCACTTCTTACCTTCTGAAATACATATAAACTGCCAGGAAGTAATCTTCTGTGGAAACTTATTCCATTAGAAATGATGCCATTGCATCGGGGAGGTACTGAACTATCTGTTTACTGACCCGATCCCCACCATAATCAGTGACAAGCATGGCAAGACTCACAGCTGTTGTCCGGGGCCATGCCTGGGGCCATGGAATAACATTTTTCTTTGAGTAAGTTAAAAGAGTTGTGTAGTATAAAGCTCATGACTTCAGCGTCTTTTGTAGGATATGCTAACCAAAAACGAACTGATTTCGCCTTCGGGTCGCAAGATTGTGGGGCTACGTGTATACACAGTGGAGTCCAGTCTTCAAGATGGTTACCAGTTTTAACTAGGCTGTGCTGATCTGCCTCTTTAGAAAAAATAGCAGAACTTTAAATTTATGCAATATTATAGTCCGGATTTTGGGTATGTGGTTTGATAATTTATATGAATACATAAATGTGTGTATATGTATATGCATATGTATGCATATGTGTGTGTATTATATATGTTTTTTATATATATGTAGTACATAAGTGAAAGTTGTGAAGAAATGTACACTGTAGTTAGCATCTTAGTCTATTTGAGCTGCTATAACAATACCATAGACTGGTTGGCTTATACAAAAACAGAAATTTATTTCTCATAGTTCTGTAGACTGGGAAGTCCAAGGTCAATACACCAGAAGGTTCAGTGTCTGGTGTGGAACTACTTTTTGGTTAATAGATAGCTGTCTTCTTGCTATGTACTCACATAGCAGAAGGCACAAGGGAGATCTCTGAAATTTCTTAAAAGAACACTAATGTCGAGTTGATGGGTGCTGACGAGTTGATGGGTGCAGCACAGCAACATGGCACAAGTATACATATGTAACAAACTTGCACATTATGCACATGTACCCTAGAACTTAAAGTATAAAAAAAAAAAAAAAAAGAACACTAATGTCACTTATGAGGGCTCTATCCTCATGGTATAATCACCACCCAAAGGACTTGCCTCCTAATATCATAACATTTGGGGTTAGGATTTCAACATATGAATTTTGAAGAGACATGCACATTCATTCTACAGCAGATAGATTATACTGTAGAACTAAATAACAGAGTTGCAATCCTTCACAAAATTATAAAATATTTATGAATCTGAAGAGTAGGTGTCACTATAATTGAAAAAAAAATCAAACTTTGGGTGCTTGGAGAATCATGGTGGTTTTGTTGATTTTTGTACCTTAAATTTGCACAGTTGAATATTTCTTATTTTCTTTTTAGTATTACATTTATTGTTTTGCTTTCCACAGACATGAAGCCATTATTATATCAGGAACCGAAATGGCCAAGCATATCCAGAAAGAAATACAGCGAGGTGTGGAATCATGGGTTTCCCTTGGAAACAGAAGACCTCACCTCAGTATAATTTTAGTGGGAGATAACCCAGCAAGCCATACATACGTCAGGAATAAGATAAGAGCTGCCTCTGCTGTAGGTGGGTATGTGTTTTAGTTGTAATGACTACTAAATATGTTTTCTGTTTTTACTTCAAATTGTGATAATTATGAATGATAATGATCAAATAAGTGCCATTTGAATTGCATGTGTTATTATTAAAGATTATTCAGTTACCAAAGCTTTATGTTAATTTCATATGATTTTTCTTCCGATTTCTTGTAGGGTTAATTCAGTGTGTTTTATATTCTATGGCAAGATATGCAAAGAATAGTTTACATCTAAAAGGCCTGCTTTCATTGTATTTGCTTCAATTAAATAATAAACCTGGCTTGTTCACTCTGTTAAACTTGGCCTAATAGTTGTGTGGTAGTGATATTTTTATTCTCTTCAAATCTACTAACAGTAGCTTATCTCAAGCAAGAACAAATTGTCACCTGGCATTCCAGGTCAAAGAATGCATGTGAATCAAGAGAAAACACTTGTACTACTGGAACAATCCTTCCTGGTGATGCATGGAACATCAGAACCTTTCATTGCAGTAGAAACAGTCCCACACTGTGTTAGACACTATTGATGAAAAACCATATTCAGTTAGTCAAGTGACCTTCTCTGCCTGTTTTTCTTCTAGGTATTTGCAGTGAGCTCATTCTAAAACCGAAAGATGTTTCTCAGGAAGAGCTTTTGGACATAACTGATCAATTGAATATGGACCCAAGAGTCAGTGGTATATTAGTTCAGTTACCACTACCAGGTACATAATGCTCTTCTATTTATCTGGTTTTGTTAAAAGTGAAACAAAGGGCATCTTTCAACATCATATCATGATACTGCAAGTAATTTATAAAATACATTCAGAAGGGGACTAGCTATTATACTAGTAATAGGTGTAATAGTGATTTCTGAATGATATGTGCTTATATTGACAAAATCCTTGAAAGTAAAATATAGGCATTGGCAATATATACACTCCTTGCTTTGTACAGTAGTATGGGACCCTAAAAACGACGATGTAAGATGAAACCAGGTAATGTGATCTTAATAATCAAAGGTAAAAACGACAATTTTCTGTGACCTTTAAAACTTCTTATCAAAGCATTAAAAACTCTCCTACTGTGGTTCATAAATGTATAGGGAAATGAATAATTAGTAAAACTAAACTAATGTTTTTTTAGTACACTGTAATTTAGAACATTAGAAACATTGAGAAAGTGTATGATATCATTGCAAAAACTTGTCAGAAGTAGTTGGAACAGTGTTTGCCTTCTATCTAATTCTATAACTTATCATATGGAATGAGCATCTTTTCTATGTCTTGGTGAATTGAGCTGTTATATTCCTTTCAAAGTTTAGATTAGTTCCCAGTATTTTGTCTGTTGTACTTTAAATGTTGTGAAATTTCTCTGAGAGTTCCTTAACATTTAAAGGAACTTCAATGTGAAGTTTCACGTTGGTGTCACTTCCTCCGAGATGTTGTCGTCTTTTTTGTTATGATCACTTTCCTCATTTGTGTGGTGGATTCACCCTCATTAAGTTCCTCTGGCTGCATAACTACATCTCTCCAAAGGATTCAGTGTCAGCATTCTATGGTCAGCTATTTCTCCTACAACTCCATTTACATTAAATTAGAATCCTATTGAAATGACTTTGTTTTTTATATTTATCAGGCTTTTTCAACATAGTACTTACCTTCGCTTTTCATGCGGGCCTAGGTTTCTCTTGTCTTTGTTTGTTGTTACCATTTTCAGATCTCCTACTCACATCCAGTTTCCATCCCAGCATTATCACATTTTTTTTCTTTGCTATACTTTCACTTTTATAGGCTAATCCCCTTTGTCTATTATCAACTTTTGTAAAATATCATGTGGGTTTATCTCTGGGAAACATGGAGAAAACACACTTTCCTATCTGTTTGAAGATTGCAAATGTGCAGTAACCAATCATTTGAAAGAAGTGCTATGATTGGTCACTGATCATCATGTCATCTGTTATTTCTCTAGTGATTTGTGGGCTAAAGAGCCAGCAGCTCTTGTGTAATTACTATGAAATTTGAAACGTGTTATTGGAGGACTAGTATCATTTAACTAAATTGTGGTTCTGAAATTTGTGCATATTTAAAGTGCACAAAATGAGGACTGCAGGTATAGTATAGGTTACAATAGCTTTGTAGTTTTGAGTTCTGTAAGCTTTGATTAACAATCATGTGATGTGCAAAAAGTAAAGCTATATAATTCTATTATATGGGATCTTTATGTGGTATTAATATTTTTCTATATCCAACAATATAATATCTTAGCATATGTTATAGCTTTTGTGCTGTTTACATTATATCAAAAATTCATACTTCTAATTCTTTTCCTCCAATATAGCTGCACTGACAAAAATCATGAAGTTGATAAGAATCTTAGAAGCTATCAGAGTTTCCCCCGAGAAAAACGCTTTGACAGATAATGCTTAGATTAATGATGTTAAAGTTAGTATAGTGATAGTATCACTTACCTTTAAAACTAGAAAAAAAATTCAACACATGCAGCACTCTCGTATCATTGGAAAATGAGGTCTAGAGAAGATCAGGAGTTTATTAACATCACAAATCTGTCCAAAAAATTTTAACAGTGTTTCTCAATTGTTTGACTCATGCAAAATGAGTCTTTTTTTGGTACTGTGTTTATCAAGCAATCTTCTTATAGTTTGCAGTTTTTGAAATTTTCTCTACTTGGCATTTGTATGACATTTCGATAGCTGTATAAACATGTCACAACCTTAATTCTTAAAATGTCCTTTCTACACAAAGTGACCTGAAAAGACATTTCTTGAGAGAGACATGCAAATGGCCAACAGGTATATGAAAATGATAAACATCACTAATTATCAAGGAAAGGCAAATTAAAACCACAATGAGATATCACCTCACACTTGTTAGGATGGCTGTTATCAAGAAAATGAGGTAAGTGTTGAGGATGTAGAGAAAAGGAACCCTTGCTCACTGCTGTTTAGAATGTAAATTGGTACAGCCATTTTAGAAAACAGCATGACAGTTCCTCAAAAAATTAAACATAGAACACCATATGATCAAAAAATTCCATTTCTGTGTATATATCCAAATGACATGATATCAGTCATGTCAAAGAGATACCTGCATCCTAAAGTAATGCTGCACATTGTGGCATTACTTTAAGATACATAATCAACTTTAGTGTCTATCAGTGGCTGAATGGATAAAGTAAATGTTGTTGTGTATATACGCAATGAAATAAGAATCAACTTTTTAAAAGAATGAAATCCTCTACACACTGCTTTAAATGTGTCCCAGAGATTCTGGTATGTTGTATCTTTGTTCTCATTGGTTTCAAAGAACATCTTTATTTCTGCCTTCATTTCATTATGTACCCAGTAGTCATTCAGGAGCAAGTTGTTCAGTTTCCATGTAGTTGAGCGGTTTTGATTGAGTTTCTTAGTCCTGAGTTCTAGTTTGATTGCACTGTGGTCTGAGAGACAGTTTGTTATAATTTCTGTTCTTGTACATTTGCTGAGAAATGCTTTACTTCCAATTATGTGGTCAATTTTGGAATAAGTTTGATGTGCTGAGAAGAATGTATATTCTGTTGATTTGGGGTGGAAAGTTCTGTATATGTCTATTAGGTCTGCTTGGTGCAGAGATGAGTTCAATTCCTGGATATCCTTGTTAACTTTCTGTCTCGTTGATCTGTCTAATGTTGACAGTGGGGTGTTGAAGTCTCCCATTATTACTGTATGGGAGTCTAAGTCTCTTTGTAAGTCTCTAAGGACTTGCTTTATGAATCTGGGTGCCCCTGTATTGGGCGCATATATATTTAGGAGAGTTAGCTCTTCCTGTTGAATTGATCCCTTTACTATTATGTAATGGCCTTCTTTGTCTCTTTTGATCTTTGATGGTTTAAAGTCTGTTTTATCAGAGACTAGTATTGCAACCCCTGCTTTTTTTTTGTTCTCCATTTGCTTGGTAGATCTTCCTCCATCCCTTTATTTTGAGCCTATGTGTGTCTCTGCATGTGAGATGGGTCTCCTGAATACAGCAAACTGATGGGTCTTGACTCTTTATCCAGTTTGCCAGTCTGTGTCTTTTAAATTTAGGGAAATTTATAGCACTAAATGCCCACAAGAGAAAGCTGGAAAGATCTAAAATTGACACTCTAACATCACAATTGAAAGAACTAGAGAAGCAAGAGCAAACACATTCAAAAGCTAGCAGAAAGCAAGAAATAACTAAGATCAGAGCAGAACTGAAGGAGATAGAGACACAAAAAACCCTCCAAAAAATCAATGGATCCAGGAGTTGGTTTTTTGAAAAGATCAACAAAATTGATAGACCGCTAGCAAGACTAATAAAGAAGAAAAGAGAGAAGAATCAAATAGATGCAATAAAAAATGATAAAGGGGATATCACCACCAACCCCACAGAAATACAAACTACCATCAGAGAATACTATAAACACCTCTATGCAAATAAACTAGAAAATCTAGAAGAAATGGATAATTTCCTGGACACTTACACTCTTCCAAGACTAAACCAGGAAGAAGTTGAATCCCTGAATAGACCAATAGTAGACTCTGAAATTGAGGTAATAATTAATAGCCTACCAATGAAAAAAAAGTCCAGGACCACATGGATTCACAGCTGAATTCTACCAGAGGTACAAGGAGGAGCTGGTACCATTCCTTCTGAAACTATTCCAATCAATGGAAAAAGAGGGAATCCTCCCTAACTCATTTTATGAGGCCAACATCAACCTGATACCAAAGCCTGGTGGAGACACAACAAAAAAGGAAAATTTTAGACCAATATCCCTGATGAACATCAATGTAAAAATCCTCAATAAAATACTGGCAAACCGAATCCAGCAGCACATCAAAAACTTATCCACCATAATCAAGTGGGCTTCATCCCTGGGATATAAGGCTGGTTCAACATACGCAAATCAATAAACGTAATCCAGCATACAAACAGAACCAAAGACAAAAACCACATGATTATCTCAATAGATGCAGAAAAGGCCTTTGACAAAATTCAATAGCCCTTCATGCTAAAAACTCTCAATAAATTCGGTATTGATGGAAAGTATCTCAAAATAATAAGAGCTATTTATGACAAACTCACAGCCAATATCATACTGAATGGGCACAAACTAGAAGCATTCCCTTTGAAAACTGGCACAAGACAGGGATGCCCTCTCTCACCACTCCTATTCAACATAGTGTTGGAAGTTCTGACTAAGGCAATCAGGCAAGAGAAAGAAATCAAGGGTATTCAGTTAGGAAAAGAAGAAGTCAAACTGTCCCTCTTTGCAGATGACATGATTGTATGTTTAGAAAACCCCATCATCTCAGCCCAAAATCTCCTTAAGCTGATAAGCAACTTCAGCAAAGTCTCAGGATACAAAATTAATGTGCAGAAATCACAAGCATTCTTATACACCAGTAATAGACAAACAGAGAGCCAAATCATGAATGAACTTCCATTCACAATTGCTTCAAACAGAAGAAAATACCTAGGAATCCAACTTACAAGGGAGGTAAAGGACCTCTTCAAGGAGAACTACAAACCACTGCTCAGTGAAATAAAAGAAGACACAAACAAATGGAAGAACATACCATGCTCATGGATAGGAAGAATCAATATTGTGAAAATGGCCATACTGCCCAAGGTAATTTGTAGATTCAATGCCATCCCCATCAAGCTACCAATGAGTTTCTTCACAGAATTGGAAAAAACTG